ATGGCAGTATATATAAAATTGATTAGTAGTATTTCGAGCCAAACGAGCCGAACATGAACAAACAAATATTTATTCGTGTTCTGCTCGTTAACTTAGCGAACGAGCCGAACACGAGCTTCTTAACAAGCCGAACACTAGTTGTTCGCGAACAACGAGCTATTTTGACAGCCCTATTTGCATACACACATCATAATTCTATTTACATATCTACCAACTAAATTTTCTTATTTATGATGAGATTTTTTTTTTGGGCTCACCCTCCCCTTTCATACATAATTCTACAACACTCCACGTGCGTCCGATCCACGCCATAGCAGAAAAAAAATAGCCTGTGGATGAGATAGGTGTTGGCGTGACATTAGGATAATATTGGTGATATTATGATGATATTGGATGGTATTGTGATGCAATACCGCCCTAATGACAAGATGAGCATTTACGCACGATGCACACAATATTCGCTCATTGAAAGCAAAACCATTGTGTGAGGATGAGATAACTGCGAGTTAGGTGTGAATTGGTGGTATTGGCATAATATTGAGGTTGTATTGATAATGTTGTGATAGTATTAAGGTGCAATATCACTCTAATATCACCATCGTCACATATGTCCGGTACACACAATATTCGCTCACAGAATGAAAAAATGTTGTGTACTGTTGAAATAAGCACGGATTAGTTGTATTTGAGTGATATTGCGATAATATTAGTGATATTTTGGCTAATAGACACTAATGTCACGGTCGGAGAAGGAGCTCTTGTAGAGGTCCTTAAATTCTTTGCTATTGGCGCTTTCTCTAGAGGATGATAACTGATGAGTCTCTTCCAATGGCGGCTCCTCTCAATATAGCGGCGGCGCTTATATTCATCTTCGCCACTCTGTTCGCTTTTCTCATTGACCGATGGAGGCGTCGCCGCCACGACCCCTCCGCCGAATCCCCGTCGTTGGAGCTGAAAACCGCTGGCGAGATGCCTCTGCTTCGGCCCCCGCTCTCCTCTGTAGGCGGAGAAGAGGGAGAGAAACAGAGGGTGGAGGATGGGAGGAGGAAGAAGAGAGGCAGGAAGAAGCGAACGGAGACTAGACTGGAAGGCGGCGAGGATGCCGTCGTGTGCCGCACGAGTGAGTTAGGGGGAAGGGATTCCCCCTATCCGTTTTCCTCATACTCGAGCGCGACTCAGAGGAAGATTAAGATGAAGTACGATGAGCTTGTGAAGTCCAACCAGGAGAAGGAATTGACCATGGCTCAGGTCATTTCGTGTTTCCCTCCTAAACATGTTTTTGTTTTCTCTTAGTTGTTATGTTTTTGAAGTTAGGCGGCTATGGTTTTTTTTTGGGCGATGTTGTTGACGCCAAATGAGAAATTGGGAAGGGAAAAATCAGGATATTCGCTTCGATTTTTGTTTTGAAGCTATTAAGCGGTGTGAGATAGTCAATGTCGGGGATGATTTAATTGTAGTTTTCATTTCTTGCTGATTAATCTGTTTGCTCAATTGAACAGTGGATAAAGTTACAGTTAGGGTTTTGATCTCTTTATTTTTTAAGGCCGAAATTGTATTCCTCTTAACTATGTACATGAACAGATTTATTTGTTTCTCAGAACTGCTTTAATCTCGACTGAAGTAGAATCATACAGGCTAATCATAAATTGTTTTCATCATTTTTTTCGTTTATGTAAAGTTTGCATACTGGTTTATATAAATTCTGCAGCTGTTGCTATCATTTTATGAACAATGAGATGAGTTGATTGGAAGGAGAGCAATTGGGGCTTTGAAAAGAACTCAGAACGTAATCTTCTTAGGAAGATTAACATACATGCCAATCAATTCTAGACTGTTTACATATCTAAATTTCAATTTTTACAATTTTAGTCTATTTACAGATCTAAATTTCAATTTTTACGTACATACTGTCTTAACTATGCATGAAGAGGTGTATTTCTCTTTTTTAAGTTAAAATGGTTGTATTTTGATGTGATATGGAAGATTCGAGTGGTGTAGATGTAAAAAAGTAAAATTTAGTGTGTTATGTATATGTAAATACATAAGAATTAAGTGATATGTATGTTATACCTCAATTGATTTTTGGTCCTTTTGTAATTTTCCACCAGTTCAACTCTTCTTTTCACATGCTAGAGGATTGTTGGTGGTGGAATTATGGTAAAATATTTATTTGCATATCTAATCCTCAACATTTCCAAAAACTTATATGTATAAAGTTCCTAATTGTATCTCTTTGTCTATATCAGGTAGGACAGTGCGTGAACTGCCTTGTAGATGCAAGAAATGAACTACAACACAAGTATGCAATCTCCCACCCTTTTTTAACCTTCTTTGTTTCCCACAACAACAACGTCTTTATCCCACTAAATGGGGGTGGTACATGAATCATTTTTCTGCATTGAGTTCTATTGAATGTTGTCATGATTTATTCGACAAAATAATTTTACGCTGAATATCGACAACCTAACACAACCCTTCATTTTTTGCATCCTCTTTTCGCATCCGGGACGGACCCAACCTTCATTTTTTGCATCCTCTTTTCGCATCCGGGACTTAGGACCCAGGCATCCGGGACGGACCCAACAATGGCAGTGGTAAATAAACAAGCAACGTTTGTTTATCAGAATTTTTCTTTTTTACATTTATACCGAACAAAATATACTGTTATTTTAACTTCTAAAAAGTAAAAATACACATTTTTATGCATAGTTAAGATGTTATATACGTAAAAATTGAAGTTTTGGTGTTAGATATGTAAATACATAGGAATTAAGTAGTATGTATGCAAATTTTCTTAAAATCTATTGTTATTCTCAACAGGTTTGAGATCATCCAACGAAGTCTTAAGATTAAAAAGGCATTACTGTTCAAGGCGGACAAATCATCTTTTGATAGACTTTGCCAGCAGGTTTACTTCATTTATTTTCTCTTGTTCTTCAACTTTTACTGTATCTGTTAGGCTTTTGAACTGTTATATATATGCAGGTATACAAGTTAGAAGCAGAACACAGGAGGTTAGTGGAGGATGCAGCTGTGTATAATCTCCTCCAGGAGCAGATTAGGCTATCGCCAGCATACAAGACGGTATTTGCGGGGCTAATGTGATAGGATATTAGAGATGATTAGTTCTTGTATTTGATTATTAATAATAATAGCAATTTGGTTAGTTAGTAATGAATTAATCATTCTTGTATTTCTATAAATGACTCCATTTGGAGCACATTATGAAAGGAATGAAGAATGTGGTTAGTTCTTTTCCTAATAAGTGTTTTCTTCTTGGGGCATTACATACATACCGCCCAATTCCTATTCATTTACATATCTAACACTTAAATTTTGCTTTTTATAATTTCACCACCCAAATCTTTCCTTTCACATCAGAAATATCACTTTTTAAACTTTTAAAAAGTGGAATGTAATTTTTGGTGTTAGATAGATAAATACATGGAATTGAGTGATATGTATGTAAATTTTCCCTTCTTCTTCTCTTCCCTTCTTCCCTATTTTCAGAGTTGTGGTTTCCTTGGATTGTCATTTATGGATGTCAATGTCGTTTATCCCGATCCAAGAAACAGGATCATATTATAAAAGCACAAGAATGATTAATTCATTATTAACTAACTAATTAGCTATTTTTATTAATCAAATAGAAAAACTATCTCTAATATCCGATCACAATACCAGCCAATCAATGTGATACTAAACTTGCCAGACTTGTAATTTCTTATCTTCTACTCAACTCTGATGTTAGATACTAGAGGTTGGTGCTAGCATGGAGCCCAAGGACCCCGTGGAAGAAGCAACCGAGTTTTCTGATACATCGTTTGAGGAGTTATTAGCTCGCGAGAAAAAAGATTCATTTTGTTGAGTTGCTGTTCCTGACCTGTAAGTGCTACTAACCAGTTATGAAAGTTTTGTGATTATTTATTTATTTTTTATTTTTTTGGTGTGTAGGCATAAAAATGGCAAGCTTAGAGCAGCTACAAATTAGAAATATTGAAGGTCTCCAACTTAGTCATTTGTTGATCTAAATTTTAATAGTTTGATGAGTTTTGAGTTTCTTTTGATCATTGACCATCTCAGGGTGCTGATTGTAGATTTTTAGATAAGCAAAAAATTGTTGAGGAAGCTGAAACTCTAATTTCTAGAACCTTGATCTTACATGGAATATAAATGGATCTATCGTTGGTTGCAGTAATTCATCTCTATAGATTTTCATAACATTGATATTTTCATTCATGTTATGCTAAGATTGATGTGGTAAACAGTAGAAGCAAGGAGTATGTTGGAAATATTAGACGAAATTATCACGAGCAGAGGAGAAGAATTCAATATGCAGAAAATGTAGAGTTAAAAATGATGTAGGCATATTGATAGAGATGTAAGGTGGGTTATCCATGATAAAATAAAAATGATATATATATATATATATATATATAGAAAATATTTTATCATTTAAAGAAGAATAATAATTTGAAAAGTTATAACTAATATTTTTAGAAAACTTGACAAATAATATTAATGAGAGGAAGCTACTAAGTTGCACTTTTCATTGCATATTAGCAATATGTTATATTGTTTCAACCTAACATAATCTCTTAATACAATTTATTCCATATTTATAAGCACTAAAATATGCATTATTGCAAAATTTTATGAAAAAATAATCTTAAATCTTCATGGTTTGACTGCATAAATGTTGGCCACTTTGTTTAATTGAAGATATCACTTCTCTTTGTATTGAAATTTTAATGGAAGGCAAATATAAAGGGAGGGATGTCTCATACTTCATTATGATCATCCATCATTGGAAATATATTGAATCCTAATAGTTCTTTTTTTGATTTCTTGATTGTTTCAGTTTTTTTTCTTTTTTTTTTGAAGGTGAATTCTTAAATTCTTATGCAGTCAAACCATGAAGAACTGTTGTATTCTTTTCAATTTAATATTAATGGTCGAAACTATCCTTGTTTGGAAGAACTGTTGTATATCCATTGGACTTTAGAGAACTATTTGTAGAGCTTACGGGCTACAAATTTGACAAACCCAAGTTTGTTTGAGAACAAAAGTCATGAATTGAAACATATTTTCTCTTTAAATGTTAGATTGAAGACCTTCGAGAAGCTTAATCATGGCTTATTTGACATATAATAAAGAAGAAATTTATTGAATCATATCTTAAGTTGAAGCCAAAGACAATCATATCAGATGTGAAGAGGTTTTACAATATTGATTTATCATATAATAAAATCTGGTGGTTTTGTAAGCAAGCTATCACTTATATTAGAGGATCCCTTAAAGCATCAATTCACAAGTTACCATCTTATTTAGGGTGTGTTTGGGGCAGAGGTGTGGTGACGGTGTGGTGTCACACCATAGTGACACCATAGTTTTTTTTGTTTAGCGAATCTGCATTTTGTTTTTGTTCTAAAAAAACTACAGCTGAAAGTTGTGTTTCTCTATCGGATATGGCTACTTGCAGTGACTGTCATAAAACTGCAGTTTGACTTTTTCATAAAAAATAAAAAAAATTATAATAGCCACCGTAACATTTTGAACAACACTTTAACAATTGCTTCTTCAAACAGCTATATTATTCTCCAACTTTAAAATAAAGAGCTTTCCAAATTTTGAAGAAGCATTAGAGATGCTCTTGAATAAATCTTAAAATGTGATTGCTTTTCTCATTAATTATTTGAATTGCATGTCCTTGATAGTGATCGTAATGGTGACAGTTGAATTACGGGGCAGGCCATGTATATTTAAGAAGTTTGATGTTATGGGCTCCTGTGAACATGAGTTGGTTGCATTTAAGGATCAAGTTATTAGTCATTATGGCTTATATTCAAAAGTTTTATATGCATGAAGCCAAGTTAGCTGCGCAAATTTAAAACATGTAACTAGTAGAAGACAAGGAGGCCTTTTAAGGCTTCAAATAAAATAGGACTGTTTATATGCATAGCACCTGAAACATTTTTATTTGCAAATCTAGCATCCTTTTTCATCCATTTTTCAAATTCTCACTCAAATATCAAAATTCATGATAAAACCCCAACAGAAATTTTTCCTCAAATATCAAAATTCATGATAAAACCCCAACCGAAATTTTTTATTTTTATCAAATTTGATATTTATATTTATAACACTTTAGTATCATAAACACACACATGAAAAATATATTTATTTTTAAAACTTATTGTTGATATTTTGGATTAAATATTTAAGGCCCCTAATTCTTAATATTCTTATTACCAATTTTATTATTTCAAAAAAAAAAGGCCTAATTTATAATTTTCTAGAAAAGATAATCTAAGAGCTGTTTTGACCATGGTTTTTAAAAACCTGAACGACCCAGACAGTCATGTTGATATTGGTCTAATCAGTAAACTAGTGAATTAGTTCAATTCTTATCGAGCCGCTCAATTTTGATATTATTTAATTTTTTTTTGGCTTATTGATTTTCATCTAATAAGATAACATTGATGTAATATTATATATTAAATTGATAAAAAATTATTATTATTATATAATATTTATATTTTTATATTATATTAAACAAGACTTATCATATCATCAACGTTATCTGATTTATATCTTAATATATTCATTTTTGCATCGTTAAGTGTTTGAAGACGCGCACATAAAACAAAAAATAAAAAAAATCAAGAAAATACAAGGGCTTTGGTGACAATAACAAATGTAGGACTAATTGCATTGGTTATCATCATTTCATTGTGTGACTTATGTCTGACATTTGCTTTTTACCTCCAAAAATCGAATGATTTATTCTATTATCTCTCTCTATCATATGTATTATATATTGATTACATTTATTTTAATGAAATGATGATAACCAGTAGAATTAGTTATCCATGTTATTATCAATAAGCCATCACCGTACTTGTGGCATATCATCATCGTAAAACTATTGTCGCCCAATTGATGCCTATGAATCCCACTACAATCATCACATTGCATTCATCTAACAAAAGACATTACCGCCACCACTTACTTCATTGTGAGATCACCATCTCCCAATTGTTGTTGCCACTAGACTATTGTCACTCTTGGTTGACTTTGTTTGATCACAACGATTATTGTTGAACCGTTATTACCTCAATGACATTGTAGTTGTCACTATCATTGTAAGACAACTATCGTCTCTGTTGGGTCACTCCCAACATCTTTTGTCAGACTACATTCAATTATCACTCACTGACATCCGACCGACACTAGTCCACCAATTTGGGGCCACCACTATTAAGTTGAATCACTGTCTTCGGGCTGCCATCAAATCACAACACCGTCATCAAGTTGCTATTATGACACATTATCATTATCATTGGATCTATGTTGACATGTTGACTAAATTAACCTGGTCATCGTCATCGCCATACCGACTCCACCATTATCACTGGATCATGGCTACTCGCCGCCATCACCATCACGATACACCGTCCTTATTTGTCCACCATTATCCTACAAGTGGCGTTTTACGACCACAATTGACATACCAAAGATGATGCTGCCACCACAGTAGCCTGACCAACGATGCCAATGTCACCTCTACGTTTTTATTGAATCAACATCTTACCATCTTATTTAGGGTGTGTTTGGGGCAGAGGTGCGGTGACGGTGTGGTGTCGCATCATAGTTTTTTTTGTTTAGCGAACCTGCATTTTGTTTTCGTTCTAAAAAAACTACAGCTGAAAGTTGTGTTTCTCTATCGGATATGGCTACTTGCAGTGACTGTCATAAAACTGCAGTTTGACTTTTTCATAAAAAATAAAAAAAATTATAATAGCCACCGTAACATTTTGAACAATACTTTAACAATTGCTTCTTCAAACAGCTATATTATTCTCCAACTTTAAAATAAAGAGCTTTCCAAATTTTGAAGAAGCATTAGAGATGCTCTTGAATAAATCTTAAAATGTGATTGCTTTTCTCATTAATTATTTGAATTGCATGTCCTTGATAGTGATCTTAATGGTGACAGTTGAATTACGGGGCAGGCCATGTATATTTAAGAAGTTTGATGTTATGGGCTCCTGTGAACATGAGTTGGTTGCATTTAAGGATCAAGTTATTAGTCATTATGGCTTATATTCAAAAGTTTTATATGCATGAAGCCAAGTTAGCTGCGCAAATTTAAAACATGTAACTAGTAAAAGACAAGGAGGCCTTTTAAGGCTTCAAATAAAATAGGACTGTTTATATGCATAGCACCTGAAACATTTTTATTTGCAAATCTAGCATCCTTTTTCATCCATTTTTCAAATTCTCACTCAAATATCAAAATTCATGATAAAACCCCAACAGAAATTTTTCATTTTTATCAAATTTGATATTTATATTTATAACACTTTACTATCATAAACACACACATGAAAAATATATTTATTTTTAAAACTTATTGTTGATATTTTGGATTAAATATTTAAGGCCCCTAATTCTTAATATTCTTATTACCAATTTTATTATTTCAAAAAAAAAAGGCCTAATTTATAATTTTCTAGAAAAGATGATCTAAGAGCTGTTTTGACCATGGTTTTTAAAAACCTGAACGACCCAGACAGTCATGTTGATATTGGTCTAATCAGTAAACTAGTGAATTAGTTCAATTCTTAGTGAGCCGCTCAATTTTGATATTATTTAATTTTTTTTTTTGGCTTATTGATTTTCATCTAATAAGATAACATTGATGTAATATTATATATTAAATTGATAAAAAAATATTAGTATTATATAATATTTATATTTTTATATTATATTAAACAAGACTTATCATATCATCAACGTTATCTGATTTATATCTTAATATATTCATTTTTGCATCGTTAAGTGTTTGAAGACGCGCACATAAAACAAAAAATAAAAAAAATCAAGAAAATACAAGGGCTTTGGTGACAATAACAAATGTAGGACTAATTGCATTGGTTATCATCATTTCATTGCGTGACTTATGTCTGACATTTGCTTTTTACCTCCAAAAATCGAATGATTTATTCTATTATCTCTCTCTATCATATGTATTATATATTGATTACATTTATTTTAATGAAATGATGATAACCAGTACAATTAGTTATCCATGTTATTATCAGTAAGCCATCACCGTACTTGTGGCATATCATCATCGTAAAACTATTGTCGCCCAATTGATGCCTATGAATCCCACTACAATCATCACATTGCATTCATCT